GTCCTTGGTTCTTTAAGAACATTGTAGCAGATAGAACAATGAAAATTTTCGTCGACATCTTTCTCAAATCGACAGTCTTCGTAGCCATATTTCTCTTCGGTCGGGCAGCAAGCCATGCTTCATAGCTCATAGAAACATTGCGTCACTTTCTAGTTAAAGTCTTTGACAGATTTATTAAATAAATTGTAAAGCAAATAAATTGAGAGCAAGAAACAGACGAGGTTTTCAAACACTTCCGCCTTCGCTTTGGATTGACAATAACAACATCTTGATTATTCACAATACTTGGAAATATGAATATGATTATGAAAGGTCGTGACATCAATTTCCGGCTCACTGTAGTTGAAACTAGCACTACGCAAAATACCTTCGCTCTTCTAGCGCAATCCAACTTAAATGATTAAACGGAAGTAAAGGAGAAATGATTAAACGGAAGTAAGGGAGGAGACATCTTATTCTGATTCGTCGACCACCATGACCACCAAATATTTGCTTCAGCCAATAGCAGTAGACCTTGCAAACAGTGCGTTCTAACAGAAATTTCAAGCTACAAGTGATGATGGTCGATGCAGGTGGTATCCTACAAATGCCGAAATGCGGAACCTTATATATAAATGAATCTGGTTTCATGTGTCTCGTGTAAACCGGCAAATATTTTAATAATATTATAATAGTATAATATTCTATAAGCTTATTGGTAAATTATGTCAACCATAATATGACATGTGAAGAGGCTTTATAAAACTCATCTTCATTAGTATTCTTCAAATAAAAGTCCATCATAATTATAGTATTCTTTATATAAAGAATACTAGCTAATAAGATGGTTTGAAGCTATTCAAAAGTCAAAACTTGTAGATTTGTTTTATCATACCTAAAATGCTTGTGCTGCTCAACCGCATTTTAACCCATTGAGTGGCAATGCACCCTACTTTGGTATTTTACTCTGTCTAATGCCAGACGATTTTACTCGTCAAGGGGAGAGCGCTGGCGCTTAATGGGTTAACTGGCCTATCTGCCCATGTGTCTAGTTAACCCATTGAGTGGTGATGCACCCTACTTTAGTATTTTACTCTGTCTAACGCCAGACGATTTTACTTGTCAAGGGGAGAGCGCTGGCGCTTAATGGGTTAAATATGATAAAACACTCCTCCTCGTGTTTTAATAATAATGATAATATAATATTTATAATTTTTCAATATTATTCTCACACACCGCTGAGGGATGCTGCACACGCAATATTATCAACTTCTTACTACCCATTAATTGAGCTGCAGAGCTTCCCCATTGACGAGTAAAATCGTCAGGCATTAGACGAGTAAAAAAATAAGGTACACTGGGGCGCATTGCGGCTCAATGGGTTAACTAAAGACATTTATTTAGTTGTCAGATTTTTTGGTTAACCTGCTGCAGAGCTTCCCATAACTCTTACTGTGGTAAACTGATACTTACAAATTCAAAAGGTATCAGGACCCTTGAAAGGTGTTTAACATTTTCCTATTTGTTTAGAATTTTCTTAGTGTCCAGTCAGGATACAGTCAAGTCATTCAGTATACAGTTTCGTATCCAAAACCAAATTTTTGGGATATCCTCTACAATCGGGATATTGCGAATAATTTCAAACCCTGAGGATAATTACTAATTTACCTAATATAAAAATCTGAAATGCTTCTATCAAAGCTAATGTTGCAATACCACAAAATATAGTAGGGTTTTTTTTAAACACCCTGTATGGATATATAATAACGCCTATGAAACTCTGCAAAGCAAAACTACAACCACTTGAAAAACGTTTTTGTGTGCATGTGTGATCATTATATGTACTGTATTTAACCCATTAAGCGCCAGTGCTCTCTCCTTGACGAGTAAAATCGTCTGGCGTTAGACATGGGTTAACTAGACACATGGGTTAACTAGACACATGAGCAGATAGGCCAGTTAACCCATTAAGTGCCAGCACTGACTCCCCTAGCCTGTGTACAGCCGTAAATTCTCCCGTAATTAACTACGGGAGAACAGGCTATGACTCCCCTTGACGAGTTAATTCATCTGGCATTAGACAGAGTAAAACACTAAAGTAGGCTGCATCAGGGTGCATCGTCACTCAATGGGTTAATACAGGTTGGTTTATCTCAAAATCTTCGTTGAATGATGAACCTAACCAATTGTGTTTTGGTTCACAAAGTGTCAGGAAGTGTTCAATGGACATATGTGGTCCAATCTGACAATTTGCAAACAAAAACACAACTGATTCTACTGTTTATATTTTATTTACCAACAAATTAATTTACATTATCAATAGCAGAAGTGACCCGTCATGATAATTCTGCCAAGTACTGTAAATATTTTCCAATAAAAAATCAGTGAATTCAGAGGCGTGACAGGGGCACAGACTCTCTGGAAATATTTTTGCCCCCATGGGAAAATTCATTCTATGAAAATAAGTGCTGCTGTCCCCCCCCCCCAGACCAAAACTACTGATTACACCTCAGAAGTGAATAATAAATACCTTGCTATTGCTGTCAATAAGCCGGGGAAAAAATCCATCCATATTTAGTATTTACTGCATCTACAAGGGACAAATATCACATTTAAAATCCAACATATTAAAGCTGCCTCTAGCCTGCGGTGCAGACACAATATTTCACGTTGCGAGAAATTCGTCTGCACCGCAGGCTAAGCTGCCTCCTGCCTGCCAAAGGGCCATTTCATTTAATATCCACACCCCCCTGTTGACCCTGTTGACAAAATTTTCCGAAGGGGGTCTAAAATTCTGAATTTCTGAGGGGTTGTAAAAGGAAAATTTCTGAAGGGGTAAAAATCCCCAAGGGGTCAAAATAGTTTTTTTTTATTGCCGAGGGGGGTAGGAGGAAGGTACTACCTGTTGACGAGGATCTCTGTGGGGGTGGTGGTGGTGAATAATTCGCAAAAATTTCCGAGGGGATCTATCGTAATTGAATCATGTCAACAGGTACTTCCGAGGGGCTTGAGAAAAATCGTAAATTTTCGAAGGGGTTCTACAAAAAAATAGGGAATTTCTGAGTCTAAAAATATCAGTAAGGGACCGCTCATTATTTATTGTACAGGGGGGGATTGAGGAGAAACTGGGGGGGCCTTCAAATTTTTCAAAACCTGAAAGGGGGGGCTTTGAAAAAATACAGAGAGACAAAAGAAGGGGGGCTTTGAAAATATTTACCAGTTTGAAAAAACAGTAGTTTTAAAAATGTATCACAAAACAACTTAACAACAAATAACAATATTTATAGACTTTAATATTCATAAATGGAAGTCAAATA